CCACACCCATATCCTTTTCTACAGCCTTCTTTCTCTTAGTCCCATCTGTCCTAAAATTGTTATACTCAATTATTATCTTTTAATTCAACTTCTCCACAAACTTTTGAAACCCCCTCAGATTCTGCTACTTGCAAATGTGAACATGCCGATCTTTTAACTTGAGCACTGCTAATAGCTAAATATCTAACTCACTAAATGAAAATAATAACTGAATTATCTAAATCTACATTTGTTTCTTTACACTGAGACTGAATATTTAACAATGACAGTGATTTTCCAATTCGAACTAGAATACATATCCCCATCTTCAGCATGGTCCCACATGAAAATGATGGCACTTCAGAAAACCATGAATTTTAGAATGCCCCCAAACCTCTAAAGTACCGTGTATATACCGTATGAATTAAAGCTCTCTTTTGGGGACTTTGCAATGAAGCTGGCTATGCTGTTGTTATTAAGTGTCATCGAGTTAGTTCTGACTCATGGTGACCCTGTTTAGGGTTTCCGGTGATTTCAATCTTCTCGGAAGCTGAGCTCATCTTCCTCCCAGAGAGTGGCTGGCAGGCTTGAACTATGGGTCTTTTGGTTCACAGTCCAGTATTTATCTTATGGATTCACCACACTACCTCCATGGTGGCTATGTACTGTGAAGTCAGTTACGACTCATAGTTACCCTGTATAGGGTTTCTGAAGCTATAAATATTTACTTACAGGAGTCGAAAGCCTCATCTTTTTCCTGTGGAACAGTAATAGCTTCAAACTGCTGATCTTGAGGGTAGTAGCTCAACTCATAACCGCTAAACTACTAGAGCTCCTTTCTACTTGTGTATCTGATAGTAATGTAAATTGATTCAAAAAAACTGAAGCACCATTGAAAGGAACTGACTAGGAGACTTCTCCAACTTCATTTCTCTTCTTGTTCATTAATTCCCACTCAGTGTCCATGGACTGTCTGCACCAGCTGCAATTACTTTGTCCCCTTCTACATATTTTTATATTTTGCATTCCCTGAACTTGGTCAAATACATTCAAAGATCACTTGTCCCTCTGTAATCTACAGACAGAACTTAACATAAAGACTGTTGGTGAACATCAGTGAAAGATTTGAATAAATTATCATCTGCAGGGGCAGGGCCAGCAGATCCCTTGTCTTAACCAAGTGCAAGGTGTGATCTATAATAATATTCTTACTCACCCTAATTTCTTCCAGATATATTAGAGAAATCCCTATGTTTATCTGGGTTATTGTTAAATTTAGAATGGTCACAACTCCCCAAAACCTACCCTTTTTCTAGAAATATCTGTTGTCATTGTGAGCTGCTGTCAGGCCACCTTTGGGCTCCTGAGACTCCATGCACGGAAGGACAAAACACTGTCACATCCTGTGTCATCCCCGTGAAAAACTGTGGATGTGGCATAGTGATCAACGGGGTTTTCATTGGTTGATTTTTGGAAGCAGATGACCAGGTCTTTATACCTAGTCCATTTGAATCCAGAATCTCAGCTAAAATTTACACAAGTCTCCCTCATGGAATTGAGAATTCTGCCACTGAATCACCACTACCCCCTCTGTATAGACTGTCTAAAGCAGTTCAGTCTTCCAACTTGCTGAAGATACAATACTCACTATGATAAGAGTTAAGAAGAAAAAAACTAATGCATCATTTTCCCTGGATTTTTGTCACTTCATTTTCCTTTCTACTAACCTTTTACTTTAAAGGCCATATCACTCCATTTGCATTATTTGTGCAAATGCCAGGGTTGGTTTTTATTTTTATTTTTGCTATTTACCTAAGGAAGAAAAAAAGATGCTTCCATCAATTGCCTTTTTATTTAATTTTTTTTTTTAAAAAAGCTGTAACCTTATTTCTGAGTAGACCATGGAGAGATGAATTCACACCTGTAATAGGCTAAGGCCAGCTTTGGGGACTAAAGGGAATATTTAAACAAGAGGTTCTTTTCTTAAAGTGGTATAATCCACAGTCTATTTCAATAGTTCCCACAAATCAGCATTCCAGAGGGTTATCAGCTAACAGATACATTATCATTGAGGTTCATCAATGAATTTGCACATTTCTAATTCTGTTTGATGAAGGGAAAAATGATTTTGCAAGACCTAGATTTTGGCTTTTTTTTTTTTTTTTTTGGCAGCCTTCATCTTCTCTCTCCCAGAGCCCTTGAGCCTGTAAGGTTTTCACAGTGGTCAAAGGACTTGGGTTCTTGAATACTAGGACTGATTTTTTGGTGCAAGATTATTATATTAAAAATGTTATATTCTGCCCACTTTACTGATGTCAATTTTTAAATATACTCAGTCAGTCCTCTCAGTTTTCAGACAAAACAGGTGCAAATGGTGGAGGCTTCTCAAGGGTTGCAATAGTAAAGAAGTCCCCTCCCTTAATGTCAGCACCAGCTGGTAAAAGGTGACTGTACAGATGTACATTTTCCTTTTGGTAGAAATGGTCTGCAGCACTAACTGGTAAGGCTTATTGTGCAGTATATTGTCAGGATTTTTCTGGTTCAACATACCTTAGAGTTCATATATAACCTGTATTCATTGTATACATTGTGCATTTAAAGCTGTTACCAAGTTGTCAAAACATAAGAGAGAAAACAAGGTCATGTGTAATATTTTGTTTGTAAGTATCCTGTGTATCATAGCAAAGGAAATTTTTTTTTTAAATCAACTATAATAAAATAATTTTAGTTCAAAAAAAAAAAATAGTTAAGAGAACCATTAAATGTTAGAGAAGAAAAAAGTATACAGATCTAAGAAATGCTGGATAGATGATCCCACTGTTGATTAGGAAGCTGTCTTTCTCCTTTTCCAACTTTACCATTCTGTTTGCAAAAAGGCAATTAGAGTGCCCAAAAGTGACAACTCTGATGGCAACCTTTCCAGAGTATAACACTATGCCCAAGAGTACAGCCCGCAGTAGGAATAGCAAACTCCTATGTCAGAGGCATCACAAGGGCTGGTATCACCCAGTATGGTAACTTGTGGTGTCACTCCACCAACCTCGACAAATCCTCCCCTGCCATTTCCACCCCAGACATCTGTGGGAGAAGTGACCTAACCTGCCTTGCACTCGCACCATGCAGCCTGCTTGCCAACCCCCCCCGCAACACCCACCCCCAGCACCCCATGTCTCACCTCAGCTGGTCACCTCTTCCATTGACCAAGGAGGAAACCCTTCTCTCCACCCAACGACAGGCACCATGGGTCATCTGACTGCATCTGACAACAAGTAGAATGGGGTGAAGGGTGAAATGAGTTATCACTGAGTGACAGCTTACACCACTCCTAGAGACATCCCTGCCTGGTGGCCACTCCTACTATGGCACATGGCTTCCAGCTGCCACCACTGCAAAGCTGGGATCATGGGAGGGTTACCCCGTCTGATAGCTTCAGCAGGTGCAGTATGCACTCTCCAACCTCCTAGTGGTGCCACTGCCTGATGTAGCTCTTAGTCTTTGCCAAATACTGCCTGAACTGCTTTACATATTTAAGCCTCACTCATTCCCATGAGGTCTTGTTGTTGTTGTTAGGTGCCATCAAGTAGGTACCGACTCACAGTGACCCTCTGCACAACAGAATGAAACACTACCTGGTCCTGGGCCAACTTCACAATTGTTGCCACACTTGAGCCCATTGATGCTGCCACTTTGAGCCCATTGATGCTGCCACTTTGCCAATCCATCTT